CTCTGAAAAACGTAACATTGAACCATGAACGATAAATCGGTATTAACAGATCAGTCTTATATGTATGACTCATTGTTCTATCTACACCTGTTGTTAGATGATAATAAGATGTTGGCAGCAAAATGACTTACAAGTTACCATTATATATACTGACCCAAACATTCCTCCCATCTCTTCATCATATACGGTATAGAAGTAATGAGATATAGAGTCTGAATATTATGATCTTTATATTTAACACAATGACTTACAGTCCTGTTAACAACTAAGATATACATGTACATATATAAGATTACGATGACAACACAGTCCTATGAGTCATACCATCATTAATGTTTGATATCGCATCCAATCCTTATATTTATGTTCAATACCAACAGAAAAGTTGAAGTTCATCTTTGATTCTGTGATTCATACCATCATGAACGTTTGATAATCGTCTCAATCTTTATTGTTTATGTTCAATACAACAAAGAAGAGTTGTATTTTCTCTTTATCTGTCTTGGTTGCTTCTTTAAGACCATAAAACATTATAAACAAATTGTTTTACCTCATAGAGGAACAGACATTTTTACGGGAATAAAGTTGTGTATTTTGTATGTTACTAGTTCTTTGACGCGACAAATGTCTATCGAAAAACCGTTTGGGAATTTCCGTCATTATTTGAATTTGACGTTACTTCATGATTTGTTTCTTAATAACCTAACAGTATGATGGAAATAATCCAACAGTTTCCAATTATATTATATTCACGTGTAATAGTGTTTGGTGTTTAGCGAATAAAAAAATGTTAGTGTTAAAGGCGATACAATGAAAACAAATAAGGTTTATAACAACAAAGAAAATGAAACATACCGGGGTTCTTTTGGTTTTTAATTACTTCTGAACACTCAAACTGAAAACGTTGGAATTGCCTGCCAACATTCCGACTTGCCTGAACAACATGTACATGATTTGACTAAGTGACGGATGCACCCAAAGAAAAGTTTATTTGAAATCATTAGTTCCTGCTTGTATGTAACTGTTTGAAATCATTCGTTCTGGCTTGTATGTAACTGTTTGAAATCATTCGTTCTGGCTTGTATGTAACTGTTTGAAATCATTCGTTCTGGCTTGTATGTAACTGTTTGAAATCATTCGTTCTGGCTTGTATGTAACTGTTTGAAATCATTAGTTCAGGCTTGTATGGAACTGTTTGAAATCATTAGTGCGTAATTGTATGGAACTGTTTGAAATCATTAGTTCCTGCTTGTATGTAACTGTTTTAAATCATTAGTTCTGGCTTTTGTGTACCTGTTTGAAATCATTAGTTCTGGCTTGTATGTAACTAACTGTTTCAAAATCATTAGTTCTGGCTTGTGTGTAACTGTTTGAAATCATTAGTTCCTGCTTGTATGTAACTGTTTGAGATCATTAGTTCTGGCTTGTGTGTAACTGTTTGAAATCATTAGTTCTGGCTTGTATGGGACTGTTTGAAATCATTAGTGCGTACTTGTATGGAACTGTTTGAAATCATTAGTTCCTGCTTGTATGTAACTGTTTTAAATCATTAGTTCTGGCTTGTATGTAACTGTTTGAAATCATTCGTTCTGGCTTGTATGTAACTGTTTGAAATCATTCGTTCTGGCTTGTATGTAACTGTTTGAAATCATTCGTTCTGGCTTGTATGTAACTGTTTGAAATCATTAGTGCGTACTTGTATGTAACTGTTTGAAATCATTAGTTCTGGCTTGGATGTAACTGTTTTAAATCATTAGTTCTGGCTTGTATGTAACTGTTTGAAATCATTAGTTTCTGCTTGTGTGTAACTGTTTGAAATCATTAGTTCTGGCTTGTATGTAACTAACTGTTTCAAAATCATTAGTTCTGGCTTGTGTGTAACTGTTTGAAATCATTAGTTCTGGCTTGTGTGTATCTGTTTGAAATCATTAGTTCTGGCTTGTGTGTAACTGTTTGAAATCATTAGTTCCTGCTTGTGTGTAACTGTTTGAAATCATTAGTTCTGGCTTGTGTGTAACTGTTTGAAATCATTAGTTCTGGCTTGTATGGGACTGTTTGAAATCATTAGTGCGTACTTGTATGGAACTGTTTGAAATCATTAGTTCCTGCTTGTATGGAACTGTTTGAAATCATTCGTTCGTACATGTATGTGACTGTTTGAAATTTATCATTAGTTCCTGCTTATGGAACTGTTTGAAATCATTAGTTCAGGCTTGTATGGAACTGTTTGAAATCATTAGTGCGTAATTGTATGGAACTGTTTGAAATCATTAGTTCCTGCTTGTATGTAACTGTTTTAAATCATTAGTTCTGGCTTGTATGTAACTGTTTGAAATCATTAGTTTCTGCTTGTGTGTAACTGTTTGAAATCATTAGTTCCTGCTTGTGTGTAACTGTTTGAAATCATTAGTTCTGGCTTGTGTGTAACTGTTTGAAATCATTAGTTCTGGCTTGTGTGTATCTGTTTGAAATCATTAGTTCTGGCTTGTGTGTAACTGTTTGAAATCATTAGTTCTGGCTTGTGTGTAACTGTTTGAAATCATTAGTTCCTGCTTGTGTGTAACTGTTTGAAATCATTAGTTCTGGCTTGTGTGTATCTGTTTGAAATCATTAGTTCTGGCTTGTGTGTAACTGTTTGAAATCATTAGTTCCTGCTTGTATGTAACTGTTTTAAATCATTAGTTCTGGCTTTTGTGTACCTGTTTGAAATCATTAGTTCTGGCTTGTATGTAACTGTTTGAAATCATTAGTTTCTGCTTGTGTGTAACTGTTTGAAATCATTAGTTCCTGCTTGTGTGTAACTGTTTGAAATCATTAGTTCTGGCTTGTATGTAACTGTTTGAAATCATTAGTTCCTGCTTGTATGTAACTGTTTGAGATCATTAGTTCTGGCTTGTGTGTAACTGTTTGAAATCATTAGTTCTGGCTTGTGTGTAACTGTTTGAAATCATTAGTTCCTGCTTGTGTGTAACTGTTTGAAATCATTAGTTCTGGCTTGTATGGAACTGTTTGAAATCATTAGTGCGTACTTGTATGGAACTGTTTGAAATCATTAGTTCCTGCTTGTATGGAACTGTTTGAAATCATTCGTTCGTACATGTATGTGACTGTTTGAAATTTATCATTAGTTCCTGCTTGTATGTTACTGTTTGATATCATTAGTTTCTGCTTGTGTGTAACTGTTTGAAATCATTAGTTCTGGCTTGTGTGTAACTGTTTGATATCATTAGTTCCTGCTTGTATGTAACTGTTTGATATCATAATACTGTAAGTAGTATTGTCCGGCTAATCCGTTATACTGTAAGTAGTACTGTCTGGCTAAACCGTTATACTGTAAGTAGTACTTTCTGGCTAATCCGTTATACTGTAAGTAGTACTGTCCGGCTAATCCGTTATACTGTAAGTAGTACTGTCTGGCTAGTCCGTTATACTGTAAGTAGTACTGTCTGGCTAATCCGTTATACTGTAAGTAGTACTGTCCGGCTACTCCGTTATACTGTAAGTAGTACTGTCTGGCTAATCCGTTATACTGTAAGTAGTACTGTCTGGCTAATCCGTTATACGGTAAGTAGAACTGTCCGGCTAATCCGTTATACTGTAAGTAGTACTGTCCGGCTAATCCGTTAAACTGTAAGTAGTACTGTCTGGCTAAACCGTTATACTGTAAGTAGTACTTTCTGGCTAATCCGTTATTCTGTAAGTAGTACTGTCTGGCTAATCCGTTTTACTGTAAGTAGTACTGTCTGGCTAATCCGTTTTACTGTAAGTAGTACTGTCTGGCTAATCCGGTATACTGTAAGTAGTACTGTCTGGCTAGTCCGTTATACTGTAAGTAGGACTGTCTGGCTAATCCGTTATACTGTAAGAAGTACTGTCTGGCTAATCCGTTATACTGTAAGAAGTACTGTCTGGCTAATCCGTTATACGGTAAGTAGAACTGTCCGGCTAATACGTTATACTGTAAGTAGTACTGTCCGGCTAATCCGTTATTCTGTAAGTAGTACTGTCTGGCTAATCCGTTTTACTGTAAGTAGTACTGTCTGGCTAATCTGTTATACTGTAAGTAGTACCGTCTGGCTAATCCGTTATACTGTAAGTAATACTGTCTGGTTAATCCGTTATACTGTAAGTAGTACTGTTCGGCTACTCCGTTATACTGTGAGCAGTACTGTTTGGCTAATGCGTTATGCTCTAAGTAGGACTGTCTGGCTAATCCGTTATACTGTAAGTACTACTGTGCGGCTAATCCGTTATACTGTAAGTAGTCCTGTCCGGCTAATCCGTTATACTGTAAGGAGTACTGTCTGGCTAATCCGTTATACTCTAAGTAGTACTGTCTGGCTAATCCGTTTTACTGTAAGTAGTACTGTCTGGCTAATCTGTTATACTGTAAGTAGTACCGTCTGGCTAATCCGTTATACTGTAAGTAGTAATGTCCGGCTAATCCGTTATACGGTAATTAGTACTGTCCGGCTAATCAATTATACTGTAAGTAGTACTGTCCGGCTAATCCGTTAAACTGTAAGTAGTACTGTCTGGCTAAACCGTTATACTGTAAGTAGTACTTTCTGGCTAATCCGTTATTCTGTAAGTAGTACTGTCTGGCTAATCCGGTATACTGTAAGTAGTACTGTCTGGCTAGCCCGTTATACTGTAAGTAGTACTGTCTGGATAGTCCGTTATACTGTAAGTAGTACTGTCTGGGTAATCCGTTATACTGTAAGTAGTACTGTCTGGTTAATCCGTTATACTGTAAGTTGTACTGTTCGGCTACTCCGTTATACTGTAAGTAGTACTGTTTGGCTAATCCGTTATACTCTAAGTAGTACTGTCTGGCTAATCCGTTATACGTTCATTCATGAGGTCATGCCTACAATGGTTGCGTCCCTACCCTGTACTATATTTAAATGGTACACCATAACGTACTGGTGTGTAGTAGGTATAATGCAGCTCTAATAAAGTGCTTTTCTAATTGTTCTTTTTTTTTACTTCCACTGCAGTAACGTGTGCAAGGGGGACCTTCAGGCCATCGGATGACGTGTACGCTGGGTGCATGCGCTGTCCCACGGGGAGCTACCAGGACGATCAGAATCAGAGAGGCTGTAAGGCGTGCCAACTTGGCACCTACCAGAACGAAGAGGGACAACTTGATTGTAAATACTGTAGGACCGGCACGTACCAGGACCGTATCAATCAAACCCTGTGTATCCCATGTCCCCCGGGCACGTACATGGACGAGAGCGGGGGGGTGGCATGTAAGCCGTGTCGGGCCGGGATGTACAATACACTGACCTCACAGACATCTTGCAAATACTGTCCAGTGGGAACGTATCAAGACGAGAAAGGACAGACGGAGTGTCTGGAGTGCGATATTGGCCACTACCAGATGCAAATGGGAAAACACATCTGCAAACTCTGCCCGGAGGACCTGATCCCGTATAGGGCCAATGTCGCCATGGTGAAGCAGTGTCAAAGATCAACTGACAACGTCGTTACAGAGTTGGAGCCGAGACGGTGACGTCACTTATAATTTTAAACGTTACAATATGAGGACTCTATTGGTGCTGTCACGTTAGTAATATGACCGTACTAAGATAATGTTTTCGTCCAGTATGTATGTCTTATTACCTGTCGTGTCATGGAAAGTGTCATCCTATATATGTTTAGTAAAAATCATTGACTATGATAGGAAACATTCTACTTCAGTATCATTTGAGAAATAACCACATCCACTAAAAAATGAGGATAAAGGAAAACAACGTCACTTCCGGTATTGTTCCAGTAGCAGGTTTTAATGAAATATCAAAATGTGTGTCAATATACATTGAATTTTATCAGTTCATCCTGGAAAAAAATAAAGGATTTGTTACATAAAGATTTCTGAGCGTGCTGATGCCGTAACAGTTGTTATTAATAGTCACTGTGTTTGTGTAAATTCTGCTGGTAGCTCTCTTAGTCCCCGGGGTTTGTTGTAGCCTTGATGGCCACAGTTAACTCCTTTGAGTAGTGGCACGGTTCATGATATAACACTTTACTCATTTGTTATTTGAAATTGACCAGAACTTATATAAATTTATAAAACGCGAGGGCTTTCATGCACCTCACTTTATTTTTCAAGAGAAGTTTAGACAATTTTGTCACAAATAACAAAGAAAAGACGAAACAATGGAACGCTTAGGAAAAGACTGAGACAACGTCAATCAAAAGAATAAACCTCGAGGAAAGCGGCTATATAGAAATGTGCTGTGTTCTTGATTTCAAGCTCACTGTTTCGTTGTTCTTCTTACCCTCAGCTGCTTCCCCTGTAACAATACTTGGGACTTTTATTTTTCATTTCGTCTGAAAGAATGATTTATCATCATTAGTAAATACACACACACACATCTCAATCTATTTATACATTTACGATAAATGACTTGTTTATTTATGGTAGAGGTTGAGTTTCGCCATATTGGGGACTTCATCATGAGAAGCTATCATTATTTTCTGCTACTTTGGTTCAGGCCACAGTTGTTGTTTTTTTACAAAATCATATCGAAACGAAAATTCAGCAGTGTAATAATAAAGTTCAGTGTAATTTAACAAACTGTACAATTTGCTGCTATACTTTCTTGAAAATCGGCGTGACGTTTGCGCTGGTACAAGTCTTCGTTAAGGAGATCTACTGTGTTATCAAGCTACAACTTTTTACGTTAGACCTATAATTACGTGTGGTCGCTTTCATCAAGACGAAGTATGAATACAAGTGTGAACTATAATCATCATACGTATGAAATATATCAAAAATGGAAATTGCAAATCTTTATATGACATTCACATAGATATGAATACGGTTTTTCAAAAGCAACAAAAGAATACTGAAGCGTCAATAAAACCATAATTCGAACTCAAAATGAACAAAATTACGGCAAAATATGAATAAAAACAAATTACGCGGAGACCCTTAAAGATGTATAAAGATAATAAAACCAGGCGTCCCGAAGGGTAAGCGTCTTCTGCTTCATCGACGACACACGCCATGTTAATCTAGTTTAAATCCAGATAATGCCATGTCATCACATCGAGAACTCCGGAATCCTCCACACTTTCGCTATAGTACCCTTCGAATATGTTATTGCAAAATTGAAGGCACGCGGCTAGGTACTTGATTGGTCTCAGGTAAAAACAAATATGACTAATCAAGAGGCTGATACCTATCCTTTGAAGATTACAGAGGAACGACACCAGGCTTCTAACCGAGTCAATTTTACCGTTACGCGACCGAGAGATTATTTTGATGTTCATCAAAGGATCAAACTAGTCTTCGTGTTTCATCACAAGGTGGTATCACTGAGTCTTTGCTATGACATATTCCAGGGTTGCAAAGTGAAAGTGAGCGTAACCCCTAAGAATCGTTGATGCAGTTCAGGTAGTGACAACAAAACCACAAGGCACACTAATGAGTATAAAACAATGACCTTCATAGCACACAAAGAAATAACCTATTCCCCTAGGAGATCATGGTGGCGACCATTACACGTTTTTATAATCTTCATCAGCCTGCATCTTTGGAAACCCAAAGTGTTAATTGAATGGATGCAAGACGCTGGGTGTACAAAGCTCTATATTTTGGAATATCTTTTAAACATCAAATTACTTTTAAAAAGATGTATTCGATGTTCAAGATGATTTATGATATCTATGAGCTGATCGATCTCCAGCGCCCAGGTAGCTTAGTTCGGAGGTACCGTGTTGGAATCCCGGTCTGGCTGTCGCATTTTACTTATGATATATAAAAGACAGAAAAGGGTTTCTACTGATTTAGGTAATACTTAACCACTTAAATCACATAGAAAGTCATGGTTACTTTTCAGTATAAAGATATCTGAAATTTTCGTAAGCACAACTGATAAAAAAAATCCAACAGAGGCAGACAGTGTGTCCTAAGACAGTTTATAAAAGAGGTCAGAATAGACATCAGCCATAATGGCAAGGCGTGTGTACATCACAGAGGGAGGAACAATACAACGGCTGTATCACCAGGTACGTAAAGTCAAAGTCATTGATCATGTCATCAAACACCTCTGACAACTACCCAGTTTCAGCGCAGAAATATCGGGTCTGCAGTAGTACACACACGGAAGGACGGTAACAGAAAGACAAAAGTAGTCTTTTTGGCATAAACTCAGTTATTATTGGTATATAACTATAATTTTGGAAAGGTTTAGGTCACCAGCAAGTTTTAATACGGGAACAGAATATTTTCACAATATTTTATTACAAAACTCAGATTTAAATCGAAGTTATATTGAAGACTCATAAACAGTTATGATAATATGCTGTTCCTATATATAGAACGAGCACATAACTGATTAATATACAGCCAGCTACCAATCTGTATTAAATTGCCAACTATACTTTGAGGTGATATTGCTTAAGATCAGGTCAATGAAAATATATCTTAGCGGAAATTAAAAATGAAAGGAGTGAACACCAAATGGAAGACAAAGATATGCGGGTAATACACGCCAGGTAATTTTAGGGAAATTTAACTGAGTTGAAGGCAGAAAATAAAAGTATGAGGATTGAATATGTAAAATGAATCAGAGATGGAGCGCTATGTATTGAGAGCGGAGATAAGCCTAAAATATATATGTCAACCTACAAAATAAATTTACGTAAATAAATATGTTACCAAATTATAGAAAATGAGAGATAACTAAACAAAGACAGGTTACTAGACGAAGTGAGAATAATCAATGCTAACTTGTACGCTGATAAGGAGGGGTAAACCTAAATGAACTTCTAACGAATTACGAAATTCCAAAACTTCATAATTAAAATAAAACGTATAGCAAAAAGATCCAATGGAAGTTTTCTTAATATCAGTAAAAAATCTGAAGAAAAACAGTCCTGGACCTATTGGCTTTACAGCTGCCAGGTTATAATACTATCTCCTGAAATATCGTAAAACATCCATCAGCTGCCAGATTATAATACTATCTACTGAAATATCTTAAACATCCATCACTTGAAGGGAAATATCGATAAAATTTAAAGGAATTATAGGCAAGTATTGAAATCTGGAAACCAATTTCTTTACTAGACCTGGCTTCCTAGCATTTATCGATTTCGATAAAGTTTTCGACTAGGAAGCTTGGTTCAATAAACAAGTGTTCACTCTCGATCAATTTGGGTTCAAAATTCATAAAATTGACAGGAATATTAAATAAGAATGGCAGTTTATGTCTTTATGAACATGGTGTATTTTTTTTGAAATGTTCAAACTTGGACGTGCCTGTAGACAGGGCGATCCAAATTCACCTTATTTATTTATAGTCGTGTGGAAATTCCAGGGATTGTGTTCAGACACAATGACGGTAATTATAATAAATAAGGATTAACTCACAGTATGTGGACAACACAGTCGTCAGAATAATCACTCAAAATTACAGTTAAGTTCCGCCAGTTTTCAAAAACTGTTTGTGTTTAAAACAAACTTGGCATGTATTATTCCTACCAGACTGATGAACCTCATGCCGAATTTCTACATTCTGCTCCAGTAACCCACTTATTTCTTTCAATAATGTTACTAGGGTGTTAAACACTCTTCTCATTGTGTTTCAACTGTGGTTTAGACGAATTTTTATTTTTCGCTCCTAACATCACAGATGAGTCCTAGAAGGACAAACAGCTGTATGATGCAGTGTGATTCATTCCGATATAATATTAATAGGATATTAGTGGACAATAGAATATTAATGGACAATAGGATATTAGTGGACAATAGGGTATTTGTGGACAATAGGATATTAGTGGACGCAGGCATGTCTGTCTCTATATCCACATCAATATAGTTTGAAATAGATTGTGGTAAACATAAAATAAGCCCATATATAAGACGCCGTATGATCGTACTTCAACTTTAAATGACAATGTTGTTTGGGTATATTTTACTGTATCCACGAGTTTTGCCTTGAGCGGCGAGATCGAACATATATAGCCCATTCATAAACTTGAACACGTTGATCCGCGCAAGCGCCTGTAAGATTCAATCGGCGTAGTCTCTCGCTGAAGCTAATGGTCTTAAATCCTGGGAGTAATTTTGTAGATCTTCTTTGAACGTTCTCTGTCCTCTCCATGTCCTTAATTTTGCTATTATTTCTCCTCTCTTGTCCGTTAGATGACATCGTGGTTCTTTCTTTTTATATTTTGTTGACACGGTCATAACTTTACACTTTTTAGGATGGAAACTTAAAAGCCACTTATCCGACCTTTTCATCAAACTGCAGAGATCATCTTGGAGTAAGCTTTCATCGGTATCATCAGATATTGTTCTGTACAACTTAAATGTCATTAGCGAACACACATGTAAAGGTTGGTCGTTAATGTATATGACGAAAGGTATTGGACCTGGCACACTTCCTTGAGGCATTCCACTAATGACTGTATGTTCTGCTGACAATGTCCCATTAACAAGCAGTCTCTGTTTCCGATCACTCAGAAGACTTTCTATCCAACATATTATCTGCATACTAAATTCATAACTTCGGAGTTTATGCAATAGACGTCTGTGTGGAACTTTATCGAACGCCTTCACGAAGTCCGAGTAAACTACATCCAATTCTTTACCATTATCTAAAATTTTAGTCCAATCATCCATGATTTTAGGCAACTGAAGCACTGTTGACCTCCAAAATAAAAATCCAAAATGCCTATCACTAAGTTATCTGTTGTCTTCCATATACAACACCATTTCACTTCACAGTAATCTTTCCATGGTTTTACAGACAACACTTGTCAGACTTACTGGTCTAAAGTTTCCCGGATCTGATCGATCACCTTTTTTAAATAGAGCGGTTTTAGTTGCCATTTCCACGATTAAGGGGCAGTTCCTTCTTGTAGAGAGGTATTGAAAAAAATTGTAAACGGTTTACATATTGAATCAGCTAATTCTTTTAACAATCAGGATGTACCATATCGGACCCTGCAATTTACTTGGATTTAACTTTGATAGTTCATTTCTTACACTTTCTTCTGTTATTCCATAATAAGGCGCCTTGGTTACTTCTCAAGAATTCCTACCGTCGCCTGCCGTTGTTAAATTTTTCGCCGATGCTCTGACGGTGTCCTGACGATGTACTACCGTTCTTAGCGCTGCCGTACTAGTACCGATCCCCGAAAATCGCCATGTGCTCCGGTATAGCTCCGGCGACCCGAATCGGCTAGGTTTGACAGGCCCTTTAAAGATGGTCGTCAGTCATATGAACCAATGTTACGTTTCCTTAAACAACTATTTCGGGGGAAAGAGTGAAAATGAATATTATAAATATCCCAGAATATGATTTTCAATTTACAGTCAATACATGTTTTACACCATTGAGCCCAAGTCTACATATGCATGTATCATACAATAATTTATTCTCGTATGTTGATATAATGATAGCAACTGCAATAAACTGCTTAAGGTTAAACTTGCAGAAGTAGAAATACAAAAGAATGAGTTGATGGTAAACACCATTCTTCAGAAGCCTATTATTTAAGGGGAGATAACTCCATATGTTGGAATACAGTCTCAGAAAGTCTGGAAGCTTGTCTGACAGATATCAGTATCTGGATGAACGCCAACATGCTTAAACTTAATCAGGTAAAGACGGAACTAATCGTCTTTTCCCCAAAGTGGATTGCTGTTGTAAATATTGTACATTTTATGTCGACCACATGTGAGACCAGTCATGGACTCAATGTGTTATCGAATTTAAATAAAGTCTATTATTATTATTTATTATTATTATTAAAGTGTCACCAAACAATGGCTCTCCAGCTCAAGTTTGGTGCCAGAACTATTGAGACTGTTCCAGCTGTTAAAAACCTAGGTGTATACTTTGACAGTTCTCTGAACATGGAGAAACAAGTGAACGCTATTGCCAAATCCTGTTACTACCAGATCAGGAACATCGGCTGTATTCGGCAGTTTCTAACTGTAGATGCATGCAGGAGTTTGGTGCATTCACTTGTTACCTCTCGGTTGGTTTATGGTAACGCCTGCTCTGTGGTATATCTGACGAACTAGTCGTCTGCAGAGGGTCCAGAACAATGCAGCACGGCTAGTTACTCGTACTCGAAAGAGAGAGCACATCACACCTGCGCTTTATTCGTTGCACTGGTTACCTGTACGATACAGGTCGCAGTACAAAATTCTGGTATACACATACAAGGCACTGAATGGAGCAGTTCGTCAGTACCTACAGGAGCTTGTTACCCTGTATCAGCCGTCAAGATCACTGCGGTCGGAGTCAGAATCTTTGTTGTGTGTCCCAAAATCTCGTACTGTGACCTACGGAAACAGATGCTTTGGGAGGGTTTCGGCTACGTTGTGGAATAGCTTACCATCTGCTATTAGGAAGTCAAATACCCTGGCCAAGTTCAAGAGGGACATAAAAACTCACCTCTTCACGTCTGCATTTTAGAATCTTTGCAAAGACGTCATGTAAATACCACCTTTTTATTTGTTCAATTATGTGCACATTGCTTGTTAAATGTATGAAAGTGATTGCAAGCCTTTGTTGTTTGTTTTCACAATTATAACCATTACTATTATCCATATGTTGTAAAGCGCCTTAGGGTAATTTTACAAATTATATAGGGCGCTATATAAATGTTGTATATTATTATTATTATTATTATTATTATTATTATGTGTAATTGATATTTCTGTAACACAGTTATGTAATCATTTTATAAGATAATCTATCGAGTCTTTATACGGCCGAAGTGTGATTTTAATTGGAAGCTAAATATAACTAAGATGCATTGATATGGTTATAAACGCAATGGATATAAATTAGTATTAAAGTGTCAGATAAGTCAATATATACATTATTAATATAATCAAATGATAGTGAATATAGAAAGCATGTGAATAAGTACTCTAAATGGTGAATCTCACAATTTCTACATATACATGTCCTATATAAATATCGGATAGTGGATGTTGATTAAAGGTAGTTTTCCAATGGAAGAAAATGAAACAAGAGGCCCAATGGGCCTGCATCGCTCACCTGGTATTAATCTCACACTTGCAATCTTAAAAGTGGCCTAAAATACAGCTACAGGCAGAATATCAGTGTTTGATTCATAAGAAACCAATTAAAATATTTAAACATATGACACATGTGACCTTGAATGTCGAACAAGGACATTAGGGTGAAAGTGGGTCAAGGTCATTCATTTGAACAAACTTGGTAGTCCATTTAATATCAGTACCCTGTGCATTTTGGATATTGAGAAGAAGTGGTTTGAATATTTTAACATATTTGACCCCTGTGACCTTGAAAGTGGGTCAAGGTCATTCATTTGAACAAACTTTGTAGCCCTTCATCCCAGCATGCTACTGGCCAAATATCATCAGCCTGGGCCTCCTTGTTATTCAGTAGAAGTTGTTTAAAGTAAAATTTTGACGCCGGACGGACGGACGCCGGACGCCGCACCACGGCATAAGCTCACTTGGCCCTTCGGGCCAGGCGAGCTAATAAAATGAAATGAAAAATAAAAGGATACATTCAATATGTAATAAAATAGTTTTCCTAACTGACTATTGATATAGATAATAGTGTACAACAAACTAATAACAATTTGTAATTTATTACAGTACAAAATACAGTCAGCTTGTATGGAACGCCAAATTAACATATATTAAACTAATTGCACCTATCTTCAAATAGTTAAAGAAAGGTACAATTCAATTAAAGATATGTGCAATTCAATTGAGGATAGATACAATAAATTGAAAATAGGTTCAATTCAACTGAAGATAGGTATAATTATTTGTACCTATGATATCTCCAATTTGTACCAATCTTCAATTGAATGTGTACTATCTTCAATTGAATTCAACCTATATTCAATTGAATTGGCAATTTGCACCTATCTTCAATTGAATTGTAACTATCTTCAGTTATTTGAAGATAAAAGCAATTATTTAAATATATGTTAATTTGGCTTTTCATAAGGTTGGATTTCAAATGATAGTCACTTAGGATGGGGAAAACGCCATGGCAGTCCACGTGCCCAATGATCTTTTGAGCTAATACACCGTACAGATACACAGATACACAGATTTATTCTGACAATATACATGAAATATGTACCTTTGATAATCAGCTCGTAGTATACTAAATTATAAATTTAATGTTCACAGCTTTTTTTCTTCTTCTTTGAAACAATACTTTTGTGGCTGATTTGTCCAATGTTCATCAAGTTCGTACTCAAATTGTTTGACTGAAATCGCATTTACAACATTAAATGGAAGGCTATTCCACATATCTACAAATATCTGCGTGAAAGAATATTTCCTTACATCCAACTTTGAAAACCCTTTATATATCTTAAAGCTATGCCCACGTGTGCTTGACCGTCGTTGACCGAAAACAAGTCTGCGACTTCTCTGTCATATTTCCCGGAAATTATTTTATATGCATGTACCTCTATCAAGTCACCACGTGATCGCCTATATGCTAACGTCGGTAGTGAGAATCTTTGCAAACGTTCCGTATAACAGATTAGAACATTCTCGATTGTTGCTACATGTTTTTCTAAATGAGGCACCAGACTTGAACAGCATATTCAATATGATTAACAGGAAAGTTACTGAAATAGGGAAGACCGGGTTAGTTCAGCCCATTTTATAAAAGTGTTTATGCGCCATTAGGAAGTGAAATTCCATGTCTTTCATTATGACAAAGGGACAAGCATGTCCGTATTTCAGCAGAGACGTATAATACATATAATAATATAATGTATTAGGCCTATACGTCTCTGATTTCAGTGAAGAATTTGAAGACTTTTTCTGTCGGAATTGCCGCCCGAACGTGCCTCGCTTAAAAAAAAAAGATTTTTATTTTAAAATCAAAATAGACACCACTGCTTAATTTTCCATGGGAAGAATTTAAAAACATACAGATATGACGTCTATTTTTCCTGGTGGGGTGATCCACCCTGTCCCTCTGAATCATACCCATGTCATAAGAGCGAGGTGCGCATGCGCATGCACTGATCATCTTTGTGGTTTCGTCAGATTTCTTTACGTCACGAACTCTTATAAAAAACAACAAATTAAAATCTTTATAAAATAAAAAGAAACTATTATTAATATCCCAGGAATTGACGTGCAAAGATAATTATGATCAAGTCTATGGATGGTTTTTCTTCTTTTTTGTTAGAGTTATCCGGAACTTTTTACCGGTTCCGAGTTCATCGTGATCATTTATAATATTGCTAACAAATCGTCAAAATGTTTTGTATAATTTCTGTTACCATTCAAACTTCTTAAAGACTGTCAGTATCAGGTGATGTTAATATCGAACGGGAGCACGACTGACGAAACCATCGGACGATACTATTCGAAATCGCATGATACATGACTTGTCGAAAATCCAATTAAAGGTTAGTATTTACTACGCTATCGTGGTTCTCACAGTGAAGGCAGTCGAGACGCTCTTATCTCCAGTTGTAAACGATTTAAAATTTATTTTGTTACATCGGTACTGTAACCCGGGTTATTTTTGACATTTGGAAGATAACCAGGTAGATACGTTGGCGAACTGTTTTGTTAATACCAGCTGCTATATATAATATTTACTACATAATAACCATCCTCACGTATATTTACTTCAGGTAGCCATCTTTATTATATGCGAACCAATATCAACACGGCTTGACCTGTATACATACGAATTACGATAGGGCGAGGTGACCTGCTTTCCTGACCGACATTTTGACAGTAAACAATACTGTATCGAAACTCGCTGTGTAAGGTAAATATAACCTCTACCCCAGATTTTACAAACACTGATAATTTATCTCTATACTACAAACCTTCTATTTTACCGACATCTGTTATTGATATTTACACACTCTATGATTTTAAAACCTTCATAACCACCTTAGATTTCACAAACACATCTTTTGTTTTGATTATACATAACGAAATCATTTATCCACATATTACTTATGAGATAGCATAGTTAGCAGAACTAAAACCAGTTAAAATTAAGTTGTGATACAAAGTAATAATGAAAATTTTCCATCTGTTTCAGATTCCAAACATAGATTAAAAGTAGCTGATAAAAAAGTATCTGTTGGAAACCAAAAAAAACTAACAACCTTGGAGTCATATCCAACATATCTGTGCATTGAGTTGGAACTACTGAAGGTGCTGGTGACTGGTACACCAAAAACAAGATATTGACCATGAGTCAGCTCAGTAAAGTGGACACTGCTTTCCGTAGTGTAATCGTCTATAAGTTCTTTAAGAATGGATGGGGAGCACCAGAGAATCTCAAAAAGTAAGTTTTAACATAATTATAACTATCCATTCGAAGTATATATATGTCTTTTGTTGCTATTTTAGTACCTTTAGCGATACATGTACCTTTATCATTTGTACAGTATATAAAGTCCCTCTGTTCTTATTGCTACAACCCTGCATGCCCCCATGATTAAATTAGAAACATTTTTCCCTACTATGTAAAACCCTGTTAATACTGCCATCCCTGCATATTGCCATCTGCCAACCGTTTTCAAATACAAAACTGTTTTTTACCCCAACTTAATATCACCATTGTTTACATTTTTTGGTCCACCTTTACAGGGAAACGTGAGTTACCCAAAGTACACATGAAAGAAAAACCAGTCACCTCAAATGTTTTTATTGTGTTTTGTGGTTGTTGTTTGTACCTTTCATATTTCATTTTGGTAATTTTACTGCTACATGTATAAGCACATTGGTTGCAATCAGGGGCGGGTCCAGGTGAGGGCGTAATGGGTGTACGCCCCCCCCCCCCCCCCTTTNTGTATTGAATATGGCAATTTATCATATTCATTAATTAAACACATACTCTGATTTCTTTTTATACTGATTCGATGGGTGATCCGTAAAATTTCGTTTCTCCGTCGTATTCGACTCTGCGAGTAGTATAAATTGTTGACATCCAGGAGCTTCTCCCGTTCATAAAACTTGGCCTAGGACTATTGAAATTTTAAGTAAAGCCTTATACCCTAGAATTTGGAATTTCTCGTTATTGGTCTACTGCTGTTAAGATCCATCCAATCATTTTAATATACCATAGACAATTAATGGAGAGAATTCGGCATAAAAAATGTCAAACCCTGACACTTTAACTATAAAATATACATGCTCCAAGTCTGGAACAGTTACATTAGTGCATTTCACAATTATTTTATGTTTTTTAGCAAAAAAAAAGGTCCAAAAATGTTTTAGCCTCGCTCCGCTCGGCGAAAGATTACATTCTTTCAAATATCCTAGAAACGCCCCTGGCAATAATATTGCTTCTGACAATGAGACGGTCAGAACTCAGAATCGATCGGATGCTGGCTAATGGAGCAAAACCAGAACTGTTCAATCAATCTTGAAGATTACTTATAAATAATGCCTCACATGAGTATAATGTTAGCAAAATAATGCATGATTAATGAAATAATGAATCCTTACTGAAATAAAACAACTCTTTATAACGAAAACAAAAAGGACCACCATGACAGTCCACATGTGATGTTTTCTCAATTCCTGTTACTATATATATATGACCTGCATGGCCAAATATGATATAGCTACATGTACATGTGCCACCATGTTTGCTACAATTTCCATATTAGGTCATCATGACACCAATATTAAGAAGTCTGGCCTCTATCAGAAGGGAAACAAAATTTCCATCGATTCATATTTGAATTGCCACTGCTATGTAAACTGTTTTTTGGATCAATACACAACACAATGGAACATGATATTTAATGTTTGAATACACTGAGAGATAAAATGGTTCCCACGAAACAATCCACTCAGGTAGGAGCTGCCCCTGATCAAAACCTGTGACGACCATAGGTGTCTGTGCTCTGCATCCCAGACTGTGTTACAAATAGGTGAATGGTGCAAATGTAAATTATATCTCCACCGGTGTTTGTTCTGCCAAAATTGGCTCTAGACAAAAATTGGCGGTATACTTGAGGACTACTGTACTAACATATAAAGCAGCTTTCTCTCATATTAGATCAGTGATCTAAAGAGCGAAACAGTGCTTCAATACAACATAAAGCTCATTTATGTGCTCAATTATGAGTATAAAAATGGTTAGGGGTATATGGTTCAATGTCTGTGTTGTAACATATAACTGAAGTGGCCCTATATATATATACATGGAAAAACAAGTTCTGTTGGAACCATGATCTCATTTGGAAATAAAACATTTACACATCTCTAACACACAATCAGGAAAGCATATGTCAGGAGATGTTAGCCAGGTAACATAGAACCAGTAATTAATGCCTCATTAAGGCAGCTCTTGCAAGGCAGCTATATTCATCGTATTAATTGTATGAATTACACACTTACAGCTGCCTATTTTAGGTAGGTAAGGTGCTATATCAAATGTCATACTTGTAAAATAATGTAAACAAAATTACCATAACAATCTTGTGCTTTTAGGATATTTGATTTTCGCAAGAAGATGTCTAACAGGGATACTTGTAAATACATGGTGAACATGTCACTGGACACAGTTACTATTGACAAGGTAGGTATACTTGTTGTTCCTGTTATTTAAGTGTTGGAACAGGACAAAATGTTAAGATAAGTGGACAACACAAAGCTTTATAAGCATCCATCCTACAGTTGATATGTTGAACATCCTCTTGGTACAGTATATGCCTGACTTGAAATACATATGTATTTTTGTAATGTGTTGTCCATCTATATGTCCTCTCCATCAGTTTTTGTTGTAATCCCTTGATATTTGACAGGGTTACGACCATCAAATGTTGTTGTGCTTGTATATATTAGATATATTAACCAATTAGTTACTTAACATAGTTATTGCCCTTTGTGTACAAAAACAACACATCTTGTCAATTATTTAGTACCACAGTTTTCACCCAAAATCCTTGAAACATAACGGATATGATTTAATCCGTTCTCTTTTTAATTGGTTGTTCATGCATCTATGTCCCACAAATTGATATGGTAGTTCTGTACTGAGGTTTATCATTACCACTTCAGATGGAATCTGGAGTTGTTCATGTACCTAATGATTATTTTTTTTATCAAATTAAATCCCTTGTCAATACAATTTACCACAAGTATTTCATAATGTTTAAAGAGTATTTCACACGTTATATTCTTTGAGGGCTTATCTTTATCACAAAAAAGGGGATTTTTTTATACACACAAGCATAGTTTTGACAATATTTCCCCAGAAAATAGACTCTTGATAACTAATCTAGGTTTATTTAATTTGGCCCATATCATATAGCTATTGCTTTGTCTACAAATCCTTGTAACTGTTGTGTACATGTTGATATGTGACATATTTTAGATAATTTATTTATACGTGTAAACTGTATGCCCTAGCCTGACCTCATGATCATCACTTATAGAAACTAACGACCAGTATTTTTTCATATAGGAGGAAGAGAAAAAAGGCATGAAGACCATAGAAGGCCATTTTATGTCACCGTTTCAGAGACACTTGCCTGGAGTTATGCCAGAGGAAGTTAGAACGGCTAGGTGAGGGTGTTCAGATTTTGTCCACATACAAATTTCTTATCCAGCCAGGCGAGGCTATGCAAGTCTTTGTTTTTGTGTTTCCTTCCAACTCTCCTGGATTTACTAAAATTGTTAGTTTCATAGGATCTTTTATGCAGATTTCAGGTCTACCTGTCATGACACAAAGTGCTATGATAAGAATGATACAATAATTAGCTATTAATTTTGTGGGACATGTTTTTCACAGGAAAATTACCACAATGAGTGTGAAAATCATGAAGATTACTACCCTACAAAAAAAGCATCACAGTAGCGCATTTTGATAGCCTGAATTTCAATTTTACATCTTTTGAATGTACAAATGTATGTGGTATTGTGTAGCGGAACTAGACTGGGTCGATCGTCGGCGATCAGATATTATAGCTCAATTGGTAGAGCTTCCGTCTAGAGTTTGGAAGGTCCCAGGTTCGAACCCTAGTCTGGCCGTGCATTTGTCCTCTCCTGTTACAATTTTATGGTTGTCTAAGGTCTCCTTCATTTCCTTAGACAGTTGATTTCTCGTCATCATCAGAAAACAAAGTTTGAGTTAAGATGTTTAGTAAATTTGCTCATATCCATTTCCATTTGATATACTGTGATCTGATTGGTCAGTTGTTTCATACAATTTTCTCTCGGTCATGTAAGATAGCGCTAGCCATGTAAGATAACAATGCTCGCTGAGTCTATCTTACATGGGCTTGACATCACAATGGCTCAACAATGACATGAAGTCACAAATTTGGAAAAGACCGGGGCAGCAATGCGGAAAAGGCAACGCAATGAAATTAAAACCTTTTACAATAAACTTACCGTACACATTAGAAAGATGCGATTATTTTTTCTGTGTAAACTCTGTTTGCAAATATGGTGTATGCTAAATATCCCTGACAAATTCGTTTTCGTCAAAAAAATTCAGGGGGAATTTATATTTTCAAAATGGTAGCCAGTCCAAATGCATTTTCATGGTTTCTGAGCTTATTCTGAAAGTTGGAATGAGATAAAAAATACTCTTTCATGCCCAAGGGTATAGGATAGGGAAATTCAACCCTCTGGATTTTTCAAATTTTGGAAAACCCTCGCCATGGTCTCAGGTTTTACCAAATTAAAAAAAACTTGGGTGGAATTCCCTATCCTACACCCCTTGGCATGAAAAAGTCTTATAGTTTTCCCAAATTATATGATCTATTATCATTGATGTTTGATAGACAGACACATATAAGGGGAGAACAGGGTAATACAAACATGTGATGTCAGAGGATACATGTCTTAGTATTTTTTCTTGATTTACAATACAGCTTGTAACTGTAATCATATATATTACTAAAAAATGATAAAATGCAAGTTCGGAAGGATAAAGTCCTGGGTCCTGTACCTATAGAATTTCGATTTGGTGGTCTAGTTTAATTATAATCTTTATCAATAGTGAAAGCTCAATATGTAATGGAATGAAATACATAATTGACTGGGTGTTTAAAAAATAATTTGTCAAAACACATGATAATACATATGATGAGGTTCAGTTTGATCCTGGGGAATCTGGTGATTTTTTCCTAAAAGTCTGCAATTTGATTGGTCAATGGTTTTTCATACAATACTTCTGTAAAATTTATCTTATAGAAAATGATAATAAACTTATATGTTGGACTGCATCGGTCTGATAAACATTCTGTGATGGAATATCAAATTTATTTCTATATTTGATTCTTTTTCATGACGTTTTGTTTTTACAGATTCAAGATGATTCTTCCTAAGAACTGGCAGTCAGAAAAATACAAGCCTGTCTGTATACAACTGGCTGGTACAGGTGACCATGTAAGTAGTAAAAATACAAGTCTGTCTGTTTACACCTGGTCGGTACAGGTGACCATGTAAGTAGTAAAAATACAAGCCTGTCTGTTTACACCTGGCTGGTACAGGGGACCATGTAAGTTGTAAAAATACAAGCCTGTCTGTTTACACCTGGCCGATAAAGGGGACCATGTAAGTTGTAAAAATACAAGTCTGTCTGTTTACAACTGGCTGGTACAGGTGACCATGTAAGTAGTAAATATACAAGCCTGTCTGTATACAACTGGCTGGTACAGGGGACCATGTAAGTAGTGAAAATACAAGTCTGTCTGTATACACCTGGTCGGTACAGGTGACCATGTAAGTTGTAAAAATACAAGTCTGTCTGTTTACACCTGGCTGGTACAGGTGACCATGTAAGTTGTAAAAATACAAGCCTGTCTGTTTACACCTGGCTGGTACAGGGGACCATGTAAGTTGTAAAAATCCAAGCCTGTCTGTTTACACCTGGCCTATACAGGGGACCATGTAGGTAGTAAAAATACAAGCCTGTCTGTTTACAACTGGCTGGTACAGGTGACCATGTAAGTAGTAAAAATACAAGTCTGTCTGTTTACACCTGGCCTATACAGGGGACCATGTAGGTAGTAAAAATACAAGTCTGTCTGTTTACACCTGGCTGGTACAGGTGACCATGTAAGTAGTAAAAATACAAGCCTGTCTGTTTACACCTGGCCTATACAGGGGACCATGTAGGTAGTAAAAATACAAGCCTGTCTGTTTACAACTGGCTGGTACAGGGGGCCATGTGAGTAGTAAAAATACAAGTCTGTCTGTTTACACCTGGCTGGCACAGGTGACCATGTAAGTAGTAAAAATACAAGCCTGTCTTTTTACACCTGGCTGGTACAGGGGACCATGTAAGAAGTAAAAATGCAAGCCTGTCTGTTTACAACTGGCTGGTACAGGTGACCAGGTAAGTAGTAAAAATACAAGCCTGTCTGTTTACAACTGGCTGCTACAGGTGACCATGTAAGTAGTAAAAATACAAGCCTGTCTTTTTACACCTGGCTGGTACAGGGGACCATGTAAGTAGTAAAAATGCAAGCCTGTCAGTTTACAACTGGCTGGTACAGGGGACCATGAAAGTAGTAAAAATGCAAGCCTGTCTGTTTACACCTGGCCTATACAGAGGACCATGTAAGTAGTAAAAATACAAGCCTGTCTGTTTACACCTGGCTGGTACAGGGGACCATGTAAGTAGTAAAAGGATATCTAAAGTGTTTATTTAGGTAAATTTTTCAATGTAAAACTAGGTTGTTGATACTGCTGTACCAGGGAATGGTCTGGTAGACTAAGTATACATGATATACAGTTATTAAATGAATTCTGATGTTGTTTTCTCTCCACAGGGCTTCAAAACTAGAGAAGACAAGATGGCGATGCCGCTGTTGGAGAAAGGCATTGCCTCCATCCTGTTGGAAAACCCTTATTGTATCCTTATGGTGGAATCATTTATTGACAAGATCATACGTTTTTTTAGTATCAGTCACGCGTGTTACATGTGTTCTGTAGTCAGATTACAGCCTGTTGATTAGTGATATTATACAGTGTTCTCATTAAAAGCTGGTGCGACAAAAGTAGCCTGCTATTCATCAACTCTGAACCAAATATTATTGAAGAATACATATAGGTCAACATTAGAGTAAGCTTACATTCAGTCGGCTATTTTTAAATGTCAATTCACAACCACTTACCGGGTATTTCAAAATTGAGTAAGAACACAGTTATACCTATCAGCTTTCCTTAACCTGGTCACAGATGGCACTAGAAAACCAAAGAAGCAAACGTAAGTGGTTTACTGTTTTACTGAGACAACAACATTATTTACAAATCTTTCCCTTCATTTGAGATTTGCTACAAACAAACAAATCTGTCTTTTATCTTTCTAAGGAAAGACAGCTTATGATCACACATGTTGGTATTTTGAAAATGTCACCACTTCTATAAAGAATAACAACATTATGCAGCATAACCATATCACATTAAGGTTGTGTTTTCAATTTTGCCATGCCCTTTGCATGAGTATTTTTAAAGGAGGAAAGTTTGGGAGAAAAATAATCACTCATGTGATGTGGACAGAGAAATTCTTGTGATACAAATTTTAAACTTTAGCATAAGGCTTTAACCTGTAAAAGTCTGACGGTTGGGTTGAGATTTCTGTATCACTCAGAAGTGATAGGTTCTTTACTCCACATGCAAGTGATCCTATAAGTATACTTGAGATTGACGTCTTTATGGTTTGTTACAGCCGGTCCTTCCTGCTACATGTTAATGATCTGTTTGTGATGGGGGCAGGACTGACCCTGGAGTCCCTCGTCCTCCTAAACTGGTGTGAGAGTAAAGGGTACGGACCTCTGGGAATCACCGGCATCTCCATGGGCGGACACGTATGTAGCTACCAAACCTTCTCACCTCTACATATACAAGTTACATGTATTCTATACATGTGGAAAACTCTTAGAATATGTGTCTTACGTGACTACACTCAGTAATCTTCAGTTCAGAAACTGTTGTTTTTGTTCTTAATCCGGCATAGAATATACATAAAAATAAACTGCTGAAATGTGGTATGTATCCTAACGTCATAATATTTTGTCTATAGCATGCTGGGGTGTTGCTATCTAGTCTACCCTTGACAAATAAATGACCTTGACCTACTTTCAAGATCAAATGTATTGACCTCTTTAAACGACACCTCCTGAACAACCTAGATTGTTCAGATCATGATATTTGTCATGTAGCCTGCTGGGGTGAATGAGTAACTTTGACAAACTTTCAAGTTCACAGAGGTGAAATGTGAAAAAACTATTATAACCGAGAGACTTATGATCACAATATGTTGATAGCTTAAAATGACTTCTTTAAAAGATCCATAAGGCCAACAGTGATGATATTTGGCTTGTAGCATGTTGGGGTGTAAGACCATAATACTTTTGTTCAGATAAGTTTGACCCTGACTCTCTTTGAAGGCCACAAAAATGAGTTGTGTTTGCCAACGGCATTGAAAATCAGGCGTCCATAATGGGTGACTAGGTCTCATGTTACATTACTGTGAAGGTGTTGATTCTTCTCTAAGCTTAACATTAACCCTGTAAGAAAGAGTTCATGAAGATATACATACTCTACATGATAGTCAGTTAGAGTGTGACCTATTGCTGTTTTCTTTGTCCACAGATGGCATGTTTAGCGGGCACTAACTGGCACAAGCCTCTTGTTCTGGTTCCGTGTCTGTCCTGGACCACAGCTTCCTCTGTCTACACCAGGGTAAATGTCTCCCACTATTAAGGGTTATGCTACACAATGTTTCATTAACTGCTTTCCCAAAGAGTACCACACTAGTAAACCTACCAAATGTATTTTATTGGTTGTGAATTCAACTCTCCCAATTTATTAGTGATATTTTTAAAGCTGTGCAAGAATGCATTAAATGACAATATCGGGAATTAGCTAATAATTACTTAAAACATACCATAGGCTAACAATTTTTTTCCTGATACTCAAATTTCACCAAACCGAGTTGTTGAAATACTGTGAATGATCCAGTGCATTACCTGTATGGCCGTATGGCTGCACTGTTGAAAATTGATTTTGAGATTTTGTGGAAATGGTCAGACTTTTTCTGCGTTTTTTTTTTTTTGCTTTAGTTACGCTACTGAAAATAGATATAAATATAAATACAGAGTGTGTTGAGTAATGTTGTCTATCATACCTATAGGTAGCAGTATACTGTAGAAATGGCCCGACTCTGATAAACATGTCACATGTCGAGGAAATGTAAACACAGCGGATTTACCCTACACAACACATGTATACATGTATATATATTTGAAAACTGCATTACATTTACAATACATGTAAAGTACTGATAGGTATATAAACCTCTTTTTTCTATGTATGTCACTTGTGTGAAAACCATGGTTACCACATCAAAAATTACCAAAAAATGCCAAATATTGCTATTTTTGATCCAAACTTTGACCCCCCAAACTAGTATTTTTTTTCCTTAGTTCTGTCTGAAATTAAAGATTACCTACCTGGTTGCAGAATTATCTGGGTCCCAGTAAAGTTGTAAAACTTGATTTTTTGCAATTTTGCGGCGTGTGCTGTTGTCAAAATTTTACCTCCTGTAAAGCTAGCCTTTCGGATTATGGCCAAAATTTTATTCTCGAAACCAAAAAAATCTTTTTACAAATGTGAAGCTCACATAGACCACTTCATCATGCTTATTTCAATTTTAGTACAGTTTTATTTTCATAATTTTTTTACATATCATTATACAGGGGTTAGCCATTTAACAAAAATATCACCCATGGCAACAACCCTCTACTGTGTACTGCTACCTATATTTCTATAAAAAGGGAGTTCTGAGGAATGTTGTCTATCATACCTATATTTCTATAAACAGGGAGTTCTGAGGAATGGAATCAATTGGAAGAAGCTTGAATCCCAATACAAAGATGAATCCGAATACAAAGGACTGGTTGACCTGCTTTGTGCACCAGATATGGTAGAGTAGAAGATTTGAATTAAAACATGTTCCTGAAAATGACTGGTTGAATTACCAGTTCTTGTTCTTTTGGAATTTTTGTGCAAAATTTCACTTCTACTATTTAGAAGATATGGAGCATGACAGTTGAAGTTCTAGTATAATAGAAGTTCTGAATTTTTCACAAGTGTATTTACCAGGTACCACAGTATTAAAATCAAATTAAATTTGATAGATATCAAAATAATGTAAAGCAGTTTCATTCCTAGGTTAAGCCCATCAGAAGCATCTGTTGTATAGCCAACATTACAAACTTCTTCTTTCATTGTATTCACTTGTTAAACCTGTAATTTATTAAAATTATTTTAATAAAAAAAAAATATAAGTTAAACATTTCAAGCAACGAGACTTAGAATAATTAAATGAATGAACTTGAGACAGATGCCAAGGATCAGTAGATATTATTAAAGGTATAGTGAACATTTTCTATATTTACTATGAAAATATAGATCGGGATAGTAGAACTTTTTAACATCAATCTACAGACTAGTATATGACATTTTGTAATTGTACACCCGTGGTTGATATTGTCCTGGTACGTTTTACTTATAGTGGGATACATCGGCTTATTCAGAAGGACGCAAAGCTGTGTTTGATATAGAAAATCCTGAGGACCTTAAAAGGGGATATGAAATGGCTGCAAATTACGTGTTAAACAACCATTCTCCTCCGAAACAAGAGAGCAAACCGTTGGATAGTGAGGAACAAGCCAACGTGTCTGAAGATCTTGGTATTTGGAGAAGTAAAATTCTACCAGCTGTTTCATCCATTAAAACACCTGATATCAACCTGGAGCCCTTATATCAGTCTATCAGTGGTAAGTGGATGGAAATCGGCAAAAGAGACGAGGCAGCGTTAGGTTTCATGATTGGTGTCATGGATGAGTGCACACATCTTGGACATTATACAAAACCGGTGGACCAGAGCCTTATCACAATAGTGACAGCAAAACATGATGGCTACATTCCCCGAGATGATGTGTTAGGCTTGGATAAGATCTGGCCTGGAGCCGAGGTTCGTTACCTAGAAGGAGGACATGTTGAAGCCTATATCCGCCATAAAGGAGTTTTCATGTAAGTGATTAGAGTGTCCCTCCCATAGTGATTCCTAATCAGTACTGTAGGTTGATTCCTGGTCAGTACCAGCCTGTAGCTATAGGTTGTCATGTTAAATGTGGTCATTTCATCTGTTAATAAAAATACTGGTCTATTAATTTGTACATCAAAGTTAAGTGCAGAATTCTGATTGGTCAGTTTGACAGGCAGGGTATGTTGTTTTCCTTCCTAGCTTTTGTATAAAGTATAGCTGGTAAGCTAACTTGGTGTTCTGGTGGTGCAGTGGATAGCGCACTTGCCTTTCACCAAGGCGGCAGTGGTTCGATTCCCTGTTCAGACATGAAAAGGTATGGGGTCACCGCCTGAACACATGGGTTTTCTCCGGGGACTCCAGATACCCTTCCACAATAAGACCCCACACATGCTTACATCCGGGCCAATAAGACTGATTACTATAAGTTAAAATGACTTGTTTCATAATTGTTGTAAAATAAGTAAAGTTGATACTTATATTTTATATAGCTGGTAAGTTCTTTGGATGATAATTCTCCTCATATTTACAGATTTGGTGAGACAAATTGCAAAAAATGAATTTGAATAAAAGTTGAAATTAGTGATGGGATATCATGGTAAATTGATTGATATGCCCTTTTTTATTCAGAATATCAATTTCCTCAAATTCTATAATCAGTATAATTGGTCAATTACCAAACTAAAGTGTCAAATGGATACAGTGTAAAGTGTGCATTAAAAGTTATCTTAATATTTTATGATTTTTATTGTGTGATTTATGGCCATGGTGATGCAGGGGAAAAACATAAAAACTGCTTAACGATTGCTTGTAATTCATTCGTTTTAAAGGAACCAAACCTTATATATACTTAACAACTCTGTCTATTAATGTAAAAATTATAGCGTATTTGGGAATTCAGTCATTTGATCATCAATCAGTTTACTACTCGCGATTACAAACTGGCTACCAATAATGATTATTTACCAATGACCCATCACAAGTTTAGATCTATTTAACCAGAATACTTGTTTTTACTTACAGCAAAGCAATATCTGATGCATTTGAGAGAAGTAGAGAGAAGTACCACAGTTGACAGCGTGCTCCTAGTCGACATGTTGCAGGAAAACACCGTGTAATCAGCTGACGTCATATTGAGTGGGATCATGATTTGTAATGTCAAACAATTAATTTTTAGATGATATTCCTGACCAGCACATCACATACAATGCAGATTGTTATGTTTATATTTTTAACAACAGTGGTTACCTGAAGTTTTTTACTGTTTTTTATTATGAAAAAAGTGAGGAAGATTTTGAGTATTTGACAATAACTGAAATGAGTTAATGGAGATTTGTTATTATATGGTAATTATGTAGAACTTGTTGATTTCTCCTTGGTTGTATAAATATGGATGTCCATACATACTCAGATTTACATTACTTAAAGTAAGATAATGAGTCCAACTGCAGGTTAAATGAATAACGTCCACAATTTTTTTCATTTTTTTTTTAAAAGGAAAAAGCCTTTGAGCATATAATGAAAAGAAAGTTAATAATTAAAAATGGTACAAGGGATATAATTTTCTATCCTGAGATCTAAGCACAAAACCGTATAAAAAAATAAGAGATAATGTAAATACAATATACTCTGTTTTATTTGTCCTATATAAATAGTACAAAACTACCCCCAGCGTCTTTATGAAAACAGGTCTGTCTTTTAATAATAAATTACATGAAGATGTAAAGACATGCATACATAGAGAAATTTAACGTGTGAAGAGGACTGTGTTATACTGAATGTGTATGATTGTGATTTTGTTGTTCACTAAACGTGTGAGAATGTTATTGTGCTGTTCACTAAACGTGTGAGAATGATATTGTGTTATTCACTAAACGTGTGAGAATGTTATTTTGCTGTTCACTAAACATGTGAGAATGATATTGTGTTGTTCGCTAAACATGTGAGAATGATATTGTGTTATTCACTAAACGTGTGAGAATGTTATTGTGCTGTTCACTAAACGTGTGAGAATGTTATTGTATTGTTCACTAAACATGTGAGAATGTTATTGTGTTGTTCACTAAACGTGTGTGCTTGAGATTTTGTTGTTCACTGAACATGTGTGATCGAGATTGTGTTGTACACTGAACATGTGTGATCGAGATTGTGTTGTACACTGAACATGTGTGATCGAGATTGTGTTGTCAAGTGAACATGTGTGATCGAGATTGTGTTGTTCACTGAACATGTGTGATCAAGATTGTGTTGTACACTGAACATGTGTGATCGAGATTGTGTTGTACACTGAACATGTGTGATCGGAATTGTGTTGTACACTGAACATGTGTGATCGGGATTGTATTGTACACTGAACATGTGTGATTGAGATTGTATTGTACACTGAACATGTGTGATTGAGATTGTATTGTACACTGAACATGGGTGATCGGGATTGTGTTGTACACTGAACATGTGTGATTGAGATTGTGTTGTACACTGAACATGTGTGATCGGGATTGTGTTGTACACTGAACATGTGTGATCGGGATTGTGTTGTACACTGAACATGTGTGATCGGGATTGTGTTGTACACTGAACATGTGTGATCGGGATTGTGTTGTACACTGAACATGTGTGATCGGGATTGTGTTGTACACTGAACATGTGTGATCGGGATTGTGTTGTACACTGAACATGTGTGATCGGGATTGTGTTGTACACTGAACATGTGTGATCGGGATTGTGTTGTACACTGAACATGTGTGATCGGGATTGTGTTGTACACTGAACATGTGTGATCGGGATTGTGTTGTACACTGAACATGTGTGATCGGGATTGTGTTGTACACTGAACATGTGTGATCGGGATTGTGTTGTACACTGAACATGTGTGATCGGGATTGTGTTGTACACTGAACATGTGTGATCAGGATTGTGTTGTACACTGAACATGTGTGATCAGGATTGTGTTGTACAGTGAACATGTGTGATTGAGATTGTGTTGTACACTGAACATGTGTGATCGGGATTGTGTTGTACATTTTAACACCTTGTGTATACAAGTATACAAGTTGTCGATACTATTTACAATGTTACCGGTATTTTACTGTTTCACTACCTCAGGGATCCAACACTGCACCTATTATGTATATGTACAGTCATTATGATATCTAGGTTGTAGGTTCAGACTTCATACAAGTTGTTTAGCATTAATATCACGAGGTGTGGAATGAATGGTACCTAACGATCACATGTTAATTTGTTTGTAGACTGATTTAAAAAAAATTAAAAAATTGGCAATCCCTGTTACATGATATACTTCAAGGTATATCAACTACTGATGTGAAAACTAACATTTCTAGACTTATGGATCAACTATAATCTTCCCTTATGTAATTCAGTTCTCACAGTTTAGTTTGGGGCAGTAGATGCTAGTACATTTTGCATTAAGGATCCTTGACCCTCTGTCGGGGCATTTACATTGACCAGGCAGCTCAGTCGGTTAGAGTGAAATTTTAACAATCTGAAGTCTTTGGTTCAAATCTCAGGTTTGCTAAATCTTTACACTCAGAGCACTGTTGTTGGTTATATTTTGTTTATATATTTAAGTGTGTGTGTGTGAGGTCTAGTCCAGGTCATTCTATTAAAAACCATTGGGGTACAGACTTTAATATGTAGGCTTATGGCAGCACGTCATTATTGCTGCAGAGTGCCAAATTTTTTGTGTGATGGTCATCTGCCAGATATCTACAGTTAATTATACAACATGTAGTCATTGGATACCACAATGTGTTGACTCAATCAAATCAAACCTGTGTACCATGTGTACATGATCTTGCCGTCATAAGTCTGTGTTTAGCTCAGGAAACAGTATGATCCTCTGTTTTTGTGTCCTGTAGTATTTTTCCTTTCTGTTGACATGTATTTGTTCATTTTGGATCATTTGTGAGTGTAGATCCTTGAGAATTTTTTCCACTGGTAAACATTTGTAAACATTATAATGGAAGTACATTGTTGTGTAACGTATAAACAGGAGAAGGGTTTCTTTGTGGAGATGATTTTATTCTCCTGTGTACAAATAATAATAATTATTGAGGTTCTTATATACCGCTTTATCAAAACCTAGATTGTAGGTCATCTCATAGCGAACAGTACAGAGGATTACCCATGACTCAAGGCAGGTTATCGTGTTTATCTCATATTACCAGTTTTATTAAGTGTCTTTTTAAAATCTTTGAATTAACTAATGAGTGTTAGATAAACATAACAGGTCAACCTTTCTTCACCAGTTCAGGGATATTGTCTCCCCTATGGTTCATGTCCTATCCACCCATCCTGTTAAACTTGACTCAAACCTGAGAAATATCACAGAAAACCATTAAGGATATTTAATATGATGCAAAAACTTTGTGACTTTGGATTTTTTATGCAGTTTTCTAGAAATGAAGTAACTCGAAAATTACTATGAAACTGCATCCATATGTTCGTCCCAGTGTTAAACATGTAGACAACCTAATTACACTGGCGGTGTTACAGAGTCTCAGCAGTGAGGAGGAAACCTGGTGTATTGAGGAAGGCACTTGTTCACTGATTTGTTTTAAAGAGAAATGATTGTTATCACATGTAGATTGTATGGGGATAACTGTGTTGCTGGTATTACTATTTATTTATGAAGTTTATTATTATTAACCATATTGGTTTGATCCGGTATTTTTCAGTGCTTTCTCATTTGAAATAGGTTCCTGCTATTAAGTGTTTCAGTTTGTTGATATGATTCAGGAAATCTTAAAGTGAAAACATGTTTAAGACAGAATTCTGCTTTGATCTGAACTGGTATTTTCCCTTTGATGGGTCTATGGTCCATGCATACCTCTCTCTACTTCTATAAATCGTTTCCGTGATAACACACACACACACCCCGATAGAACACCTCTTTTTGGATACTTTTAAGTTAGTTAATGGAATTAACAAAATGCGTTTTGAATTCAGAGTGTTCCCCAATTTTTCTGTCTGATGCACTGCATTTTACCTTCTTATGAAACTTGCACATGATTGTAGTGGATAGTTGTATTTTTGGTTTCAGTGAGTGTTTTTTTTGGAATGTCCCTTCTCTGATTACTCTAACATTTTCTCAGTACTGCTTTTAACCTTCTTACCAAATTTTTTATGAAACTTGATAGACTTGATCAAATCATCTTTTTATTTTTCAATCACAGACGAATACCGTTATCTAGGAGCCGGCACCGTTCTCAGAGAGGCCGCTATACATCTAGTTAACTTTTACCTTTGTTTTGTTATTATGTTAACGAATGTACTTGTGTTGTGTTCTCATCTACATTTACAAATTAAGTATTTTGATATCATGCAATGAAATGTGGGTAGCTGCACATGTATTTGTAAGAGAGAAACAATTACTACCTGTAATATATATATACGATTATTGATAAAATCATGAAAATTCTTCCTATTTATTTTCACAAATTGTTGATGGTTTTGTAATATTAGTCCACATAAGATGAACTGAGTGCCAAAATATCACTTGATAACTAATATTTTGAACATATTTTAGTTATTCATTACTATAGTTTACCATTTATGAAAGTTGGCATTATACAGAAAGGTTAACTTACCATTCACCCCTAATGTCACATTTGAACATGACCAAATCAAAGACTGGGTAAGTCCAGTTTAAATAAATAGGGGTGAATGAATTAATGGAATACTCAGTATTACTGCAAGTGGAGAAGTGTACAAAATTATCTCATCTTGGTTTGAATCAGGTGAATATATATAATTAACATCCTTAAGAAATACCCTGACTAAAAACTTATGGATACATGTATAAGCAAAGTTTTATGTACTAAAATGTAATCTATATAATTTCCTAGGATTTTGAAATATAGCTGGTAAAACATTTCCTGGGTACTTAGGTAGACGATGAGTTTCTCTGTAATACAGGAAACTCTGTTCTCACCGACATCAACAGTAGCTATCTGGTGTGTCAGTTATGTCAGGGCAAATGACAGGGATACCAGCATATATGGGCCAAACAATATGACATATTTTATACAGGATGTATTGAAGGCCAGGTTACAGTTCAGTCAGTATTCTCTGTACTATTTCAGATTCTGCAAGACAAAATTTGTTATATATATTGAAACTAATCTTTGCTGAAATGGTTAAGAAGTTTTATGATAATGATGTGAATTGGTGCATGATTGTATATTTCCTATTTGCCATAATGTCTACTATGCAATGTCTAGTAACATGGAAATATTTAAAATGACCTCAGTTGTACTAATTTGCTCCACAAAGAGTTTGTTGTGTTAAGTTTGAGATTCAAAGATATAGACATTCAGAGACTACTTGTACCAGGTTTTTTTAATTTATTTTTACCACAATTGAACTTAAGCCTTTTTTGCCCTCAGATATGAGGATGAATTGACCATCGCAGAACATATCCATACACAGCATATAAATATAGTGTTAACATGAGAAGGGGGAAGATAAGATTGTGCAAACATGGATTTTACCAGTTAACCTGCAAACTCTCCCAGTATACTGTATTCTATCTGCTCTGTAAGAATTTGACTAAGACTTGAGAACCAGTGTGCTGGCAGCATTCCATGGTACTGATCTCACGAACTGAGCTTGTATTCTGACACTGAATCCCCTTTTGGTTGTTACTACTACTATGTCTATACCCTGTACATTTGCTGTAGACTTGATACTATGTCTATACCCTGTACATGTGCTGTAGACTTGATCCTATGTCTATACCCTGTACATGTGCTGTAGATTTACTACTATGTCTATACCCTGTACATGTGCTGTAGACTTGATACTATGTCTATACCCTGTACATTTGCTGTAGACTTGATACTATGTCCATACCCTGTACATGTGCTGTAGACTTGATCCTATGTCTATACCCTGTACATGTGCTGTAGACTTGATACTATGTCTATACCCTGTACATGTGCTGTAGACTTACTACTATGTCTATTACCTGTACATGTTACTTGTAGACCTGGAGATATATATGATTATGTATCATCTGTTATATTTGTATTATCATGATGAGAGATACCATAAAGTGCTTAACAAGAAACTTTCCTTTGTTTTCTGTTGTTATTTTATTGATTACTTGATCAATATAGATAAAGGAATAGAAATTAAGGTAAATATAAAAATGTAAGGTAGATAATCAGTTAATATTGAAAGAAATGTAGATATGTATTGAAATACCTAAGATAACTGGTAGATATCAAAATCCAAGGCATGATTGTGTATACAAATTTAACGATCTAGATAACTTACTTAGTGTGAAATTATTTTATATGTAGATACACAGGGTAGATAACTCGTATATAAAAAAATAATTGAACCTAGAAATACAAGGTAGATCACTGCATGTTGTTAGCTCACCTGCCCTGAAGGGCCAAGTGAGCTTACGCCGTGGTGCAGCATCCGTCTGTCGGTCGTTCCACGTCCGGCGTCAATATTTTTCTTTAAACAACTTCTTAATAATCAAAAGGCCTAGGTTGATGATATTTGGCCAGAAGAAAACTGGGATGAAGGGCTCCCAAGATTGTTCAAATAAATAACCTTCACCAATTTTCAAGGTTACAGGGGTCAAATATGTAAAAAAAAAAAAAAAGACTGAACAACTTCTTCTGAATAACCAAAATGCCTAGGGTGATGATATTTGGCCAGTAGCAAGCTGGGATGAAGGCCTACCAAGTTTGTTCAAATAAATGACCTTCACACATATTCAGGGTCACAAGGGCCAAGTGTCTTTAAAAATCTTAAAAACAACTTCTTCTAATTAAATAAAATGCCCAGGGTGATGGTATTTGACTAGTAGCATGCTGACAAGAAGGGCTACCAAGTTTGTTCAAATGAATGACTTTCACCAATATTCATGGTCACAGGGGTCAAATATGTAAAAATCTTAAACAACTTCTGCTGAATAACCAAAATGCCCAGGTTGTTAATATTTAGTCAGTAGCAGACTAGGATGAAGGGCTACCAAGTTTTTTTAAATGAATAACCTTGACTTAAATTTCAGGGGTCAAATTATGTTTGAAACTTTTAAATGACTTCTGAATAACAAAAAGTCGTACGATGATGATATTTGGCCGATAACAAGATGGGATGAAGGGCTACCAAGTCTGTTCAAATGAATGACCTTGAATTATATTCAAGGTTACAGGGATCAAATATGTTAAAATCTTAAACAACTTCTTCTGAATAACCATAAGGCCTACAATGTTGATATCTGGTCAGTATCATGCTGGGTCAAGGGCTACCAAATTTGTTAAAGTGAATGACCTTGACTTATGTTTAAAATCTTTAAATGACTTCTGAATAACTATGAGTCCCAGAATGTTGATATTTGGCCAGTAGCATGCTTTTCCATGTGAATTACCTTGACCCACTTTCAAGGTCACATTTGGTCAAAAATTCATAAACATTTAAATGACTTTATTTTAATAAACAAAAGGATAGGGTGGTGATATTTTGCAAGTTGCATCTTGAGATGAAGGGTAATAAAATCTATTCAGACCTTGTTCGACTTTCTAGGTCAAAGGGGTGACATGTTTTTAAATCTTTTAACAGGTTCTTTTGAATAACTGTTAATCTTAAATACTGAAGTTTTGTTTCAGATCACTTTTAAGGAAACAAGTGTGATTTTTTTTCCAGGTGAGCGATGCAGGCCCATTGGGCCTCTTGGATAAAATTACAAGGTAGATAACTTTAGATTCTAGAGAAGCTAATTGAGACATCTTGCATTGTAGATATTTCTAGTGGTTATGTGAAATACAAGTTAGAAACCTGTTGTATTTTGAAATGCAATTAGATTGGAATTCCATAGGACCAAGGTGAGCTTATGCCACACTGTGGCATCCATCATGCATCTGTCAATAATTTCTGTAAATGACTTCATACCCACCGATTGAAATTCAACCAAAGACTTTAGCTGCCCTTGGTAGTGGGGATTCGAAATTGTACAAATGGAGGGGCTTGCCTGTATTAATGAGAAAACATTTGTAATTAATGGCAGAGAAACGATCTAAGCGACGGAAAGTTTTATTTCCTGTACTTCAACAAAACTACAGTTGATACCTCTGTGTTGACCTTGAGGTCTTCATCCGTAGTACTTTTATTCCTCTGGCGTTGACCTGGAGGTCTTTATCTGTAGCACTGTTATTACTCTGCTTTGACCTTGAGGTCTTCATCCTTAGTACTTTAACTCCTCTGGCGTTGACCTGGAGGTCTTCATCCTTAGTTCTTTTATTCCTCTGGCATTGACCTGGAGGTCTTCATCCTTAGTTCTTTTATTCCTCTGGCATTGACCTTGAGGTCTTCATCCTTAGTTCTTTTATTCCTCTGGCGTTGACCTTGAGGTCTTCATCTGTAGCACTGTTATTACTCTGACGTTGACCATGAGGTCTCCATCTGTAGTACTTTTATTCCTCTGACGTTGACCTTGAGGTCTCCATCCGTAGTACTTTTAGTCCTCTTGTGTTGACCTTGAGGTCTTCATCCTTAGTACTTTCATTCCTCTGGCATTGACCTTGGGGTCTTCATCCTTAGTATTTTCATTCCTCTGGCGTTGACCTTGAGGTCCTCATCCTTAGTACTTTTATTCCTCTGGCGTTGACCTGGAGGTCTTCATCCTTAGTTCTTTTATTCCTCTGACATTGACCTTGAGGTCTTCATCTTTAGTTCTTTTATTCCTCTGGCGTTGACCTTGAGGTCTTCATCTGTAGTACTGTTATTACTCTGGCTTTGACCTGGAGGCCTTCATCCTTAGTTCGTTTATTCCTCTGGCACTGACCTTGAGGTCTTCATCTGTAGCCCTCTGACATTGACCTTGAGGTCTTCATCTGTAGCACTGTTATTACTCTGGCGTAGACCTTGAGGTCTTCATCTTTAGTTCTTTTATTCCTCTGGCGTTGACCTTGAGGTCTTTATCTGTAGCACTGTTATTAATCTGCTTTGACCTTGAGGTCTTCATCCTTAGTACTTTCATTCCTCTGGCATTGACCTTGGGGTCTTCATCCTTAGTATTTTCATTCCTCTGGCGTTGACCTGGAGGTCATCATCCTTAGTTCTTTTATTCCTATGGTGTTGACCTTGAGGTCTTCATCTGTAGCACTTTTATTACTCTGGCGTTGACCTTGCCTTAGTTCTTTTATTCCTCTGACATTGACCTTGAGGTCTTCATCTTTAGTACTTTAACTCCTCTGGCGTTGACCTTGAGGTCCTCATCCTTAGTACTTTTATTCCTCTGACGTTGCCCTTGAGGTCTCCATCCGTAGTACTTTTAGTCCTCTTGTGTTGACTTTGAGGTCTTCATCCTTAGTACTTTTATTCCTCTGACGTTGCCCTTGAGGTCTCCATCCGTAGTACTTTTAGTCCTCTTGTGTTGACCTTGAGGTCTTCATCTGTAGCACTGTAATTACTCCGACGTTGACCATGAGGTCTCCATCTTTATTCCTCTGGTGTTGACCTTGAGGCCTTCATCTGTAGCACTGTAATTACTCCGACGTTGACCATGAGGTCTCCATCTTTATTCCTCTGGTGTTGACCTTGAGGTCCTCATCCTTAGTACTTTTATTCCTCTGACGTTGACCTTGAGGTTTCCATCTGTAGTACTTTTATTCCGCTGACGTTGACCTTGTGGTCTCAATCCGTAGCTTATTCCTCTGGTGTTGACCTTGAGGTCTTCATCTGTAGCACTTTTATTATTCTGGCGTTGATCTTGAGGTCTTCATCTGTAGCACTGGTATTACTCTGGCGTTGACCTTGAGGTCTTCATCCATAGTACTTTTATTCCTCTGGCATTGACCTTTGGGTCTTCATCCTTAGTATTTTCATTCCTCTGGCGTTGGCCTTGTGGTCTCCATCCGTAGTACTTTTTTTCTTCTGACGTTGACCTTGGGGTCTTCATCCTTAGTTTTTTTATTCCTCTGGCGTTGACCTGGAGGTCTTCATCCTTATTTCTTTTATTCCTCTGGCATTGACATGGAGGTCTTCATCCTTAGTTCTTCAACTCCTCTGGCGTTGACCTTGAGGTCCTCATCCTTAGTACTTTTATTCCTCTGACGTTGACCTTGAGGTTTCCATCTGTAGTACTTTTATTCCTCTGACGTTGCCCTTGAGGTCTCCATCCGTAGTACTTTTAGTCCTCTTGTGTTGACCTTGAGGTCTCCATCCGTAGTACTTTTAGTCCTCTTGTGTTGACTTTGAGGTCTTCATCCTTAGTACTTTAACTCCTCTGGCTTTGACCTGGAGGACTTCATCCTTAGTTCTTTTATTCCTCTCGCGTTGACCTTGAGGTCTTCATCCGTAGTACTTTTATGGGTCTTCATCCTTAGTTCTTTTATTATTTCTTTTATTCCTCTGGCATTGACATGGAGGTCTTCATCCTTAGTTCTTCAACTCCTCTGGCGTTGACCTTGAGGTTTCCATCTGTAGTACTTTTATTCCTCTGACGTTGACCAGGAGGTCTCTATCCGTAGTACTTTTATTTTTCTGGCGTTGAATCCTTAGTTCTTTTATTCCTCTGGCATAGACCTTGAGGTCTTCATCCTTAGTACTTTCATTCCTCTGAGTTCTTTTATTCCTCTGGCGTTGACCTTGAGGGCTTCATCTGTAGCACTGTTATTACTGTGGCGTAGACCTTGAGGTCTTCATCTTAAGTTCTTTTATTCCTCTGGCGTTGACCTGGAGGTCATCATCCTTAGTTCTTTTATTCCTATGGTGTTGACCTTGAGGTCTTCATCCTACTCTGGCGTAGACCTTGAGGTCTTCATCCTTAGTTTTTTTATTCCTCTGGCGTTGACCTGGAGGCCTTCATCCTTAGGTCTTTTATTCCTCTGACGTTGACCTTGTGGTCTCAATCCGTAGCACTTTTATTCCTCTGACCCTCTGGCATTGACCTTGAGGTCTTCCTCCTTAGGTCTTTTATTCCTCTGGCGTTGACCTTGAGGGCTTCATCTGTAGCACTGTTATTACTGTGGCGTAGACCTTGAGGTCTTCATCTTTAGTTCTTTTATTCCTCTGGCGTTGACCTGGCGGTCTTCATCCTTAGTTCTTTTA